CGTCTTAGCGAACACCGGGGAATTCACAACTGTCTCTGGTGGAATTAGTAGCCATCTGTGCGGCAATGTTACCCTGTTGGCTTCTCTTGACATTGCTCCCATATGTTTTTGAAATCTTCATCTGTTTCATATAGATCTTTCATGACCTCAAAGCCCACAACTCAAGCATGCATGGATGTGATTAATAAGTGTCGACGACTCAGTGCATTCGCTACTCAGTTCTGGTTTCTTGCCTTGTGTTTAGTCTAAACTGGAATAAAGCTAGAAATTCCATCTAGGCGGCTTGTTGTCCCTTTAGTTTGTTCTGGCTATTGAGAAATTTTAGGGCATCGTGATCTGTAAATAGTGTAACTAGTTCGTCAACAGAATGACTCCAGTGTTTGTTGTGTTAATCTAGTTGTCTCTAGAAATTGTTTATGTATTTTTGCACATTTTTCATGTGGATTAGGAAGTTTTGAAAACCGTTTTGTGGTTAGGTGGTTAGGAAAACCGTTGAGTGGTTAGTTAGTTTTATTTTCAGAAAAATGTGATGTATTTGCTTATAAATTAAACCAGAAAATGTAGAGGGTGTGAACTACTAAATAAAATTCCTCCATTTTTGTTGGCGTCTCAGGTTTGGTTTTGAAAACCAACAACACTCACACACACACATACATACAAACAAGAAGAATGAGGCAAAAAATAGAGCGAGAGAGCACACTCTTATGTATTTACATAAATCTAACACCTAGACTTTGCTATTTACATTTATACTTTCAAGATGTTTCTTATTAAATAAAAAATATCACTACTTAAACATCTTAAAAGATAAATGCACATTTTCATGCATAAGTAAGATGACATATAGATAAAAATTTAGTCTAGTTAAATAGATAAGATTTGAGTGGTGTGCTTGCAAGACTTCCAAAAACCAATAACTCTCCAAAACACATGATAAGTTTATACAAATGATCTAATAATAGATTTCTACATCATTTTACTGTGGCTATAAAATCACAAATGAAAAAGAAGTTTACGCAATACTTTATACAGACTATAGCAGCAGTAAAAATCTATACTATTTTCACCACTACAATTGTTTGCGCAGCAAAAACTTCCAGTAGAAGTTTTAACAGTATTGGTGATGGTTTTTAGCAATGATGTCTACTGTTATTTTCATTATATCGGTTTTAACTGCTATTAATTGTTAGTGCTGCAATGACTAAGTAGCAGCACGTGGAAAATTTTTTTAACGGTGATGTCTTTGACAGAGCTTTTAAAATTGCTGCTAATTTCAAGATTTTAAAGAACTACATGTCCCATTTTGCAAGATACATGAGAAAACGTTAACACAGTCAAAAACACAATCTCTGAAACCTAACGCATTTGTCTAATTAAAACTCAGGAGCGCAGATTGGAATCAGGAGAACGGGACTCACTGCCATGACGAAAGGAGACCGGTGATGCGGCCAGGATACTGGGGAAGCGGCGCCGATAAAAGGATGATGGAGGTGGTTTCCGGCATAGTTGGGAGGATGAAAGTCCCTGTAACCTTCATCAATATAACACAGCTTTCCCAGTATAGAAAAGATGGTCATGTATCAGTTTATACTGAGCCACAAGCTGGGAATATAACAGCAGAAGAGCAGGTTGTTTCAGATAGATATGTGGACTGTATTCACTGGTGTTTACCGGGAGTTCCGGATACATGGAACCAAATTTTGTATGCGTATTTGTGAGGTATAGTGGAAGTTAGTGGTTTCATTTTTAAAAAATATATATTACGTGCAGATAAGTTATGCATGTATAGGCGCAAATTTGGTGTTATTTGATGTTATTAAGATGATATTGTGGTGCAATATCACTACATGCCAGCATATGCAGACACTTTAGCGATTCATGTCATGTTTTGAAGTTACAGAAAATCTGCTATAATAGGAAAATATAATTAATTAATTTTTTTTTTCCTTTGCAAACATTCAATTCATTTTAGCTGTTAATTTTTGCATAACTTTCATTTGGAAGATTTACATACATACTATATAATTTTTATGTATTTAACACCCCTTGGCCGGCATTGTGTTGTATCATGGAGTCCAATTTGAGATTGGCAACTTTTGCTCGTCCATTTATTTAAGGATGATATGCACTCCTAAGAGCCAAGTTAGGGTCAAGTTTATGCAATCGAAAGACCCCTTGAAAAAATAAATTAGCCTTATTGATAGGGACAAGCCAAAAGAAGTGCTATTTTTAAAAAAATTAAATAGCCATATTGGAGTACTGAAAATGTTTCAAGTTCTAATAGTTTAAAAATTAGCTCATTTACTCCTAGCAACATGGCTAATTTTTTTTATGAAGCGGACATTCGACTACATGTAAATCCAAATCCATCACTTTGCACCATGATATTAAGTTTGTGAATCATTTTTGGCGAGTATTGAATAAATTTGACACTATGTTGGTACTTTGTAGTGCATACCATTTTTAAATAAATGGACAAACATAAGTCATCAATCTCTCCATGATATACATCAAAATTGTAGGGTCAAGCATTTGTCTTAGTCAAATTCACCTTTTATAATACACTAATTTGCACACTTTTTTTGTGTTTATCGTTCGACATCTTTTTTTCACGATCAATCAATCAATCAAGGGAGTATCTTCTTGATAATTTTGATTCTCCGGATGCATAAGCATGTACATTTCATTCTACAAGCATATGAAAATTCGGTTGTATAGCTTTTGAGTAAATTTTATATCTTTTTCATCATGCAATGTGTGAGCCAAGGCTAAGATAGTTTGAACCTGAACTATGCAACATTGCATCTAACGTCTACAGTTTTTTCCTCCCCGCTTGATTAGAATTATGAATAGACATTGAGGTCAACAAATATGTGAACCATCTATTAAAAATATGTCTTTTAGGTGAAGGATAGAGAATTGATATTTTATGATAATTTTCTTGATTGATTAACTATATCTTCATGCTTATTTGATAACTGCACCTAAGTCTTATCAAATAGAGAACAACATCCAACATAACTTATCAAATAATAAGTTGCGGTTTTTTTTTATTATTATCAATTTAATCTTGTAGAGGTGGGAGGATGATTTCAATAGGTAATTTGAGAGTATTCACCAAGGTTTTTGAAGCTATGTTCTTATAGCTTCAACTATTTACGATCACTTCTATAAAATTTCTTATGTGTTGTGCAACATCTATGAAAATTGGAATGATGCTATGTTGAATTTTTCAAACACAATCAAAGGATAGTATACTTAAACAATCTCATTAATACGATCAAGCTAAACGATAAATTAAGGGTGCAGAAAACTCCATATATTGGAAGGGAAAGATGAAGAACACAGATCAGAGGAGACTGACATCTTTTTTTTCATTTTCTTCGGTACATCCAAATAAAAGTTATTTATAAATGTACAATAGTTGTTAATTCATTATCTTAAATATTCAATAATTAACTTTTCATGTTAACCTAATACAATAGCAAATCATCTCATAGTATCATATCATTACACGCCCCTTTAACATGACGACATGGCCAATATGGTTGAGCAAGAAATAGAAAGAATGCAAGGTAGGATTGACAATATCAACAAGCAAGAGCTGAGGAAATAATAGATCATGAATTGCTTACAAAATTCAAAACTTCTATGAATTATCTTTTGAGAAAAAAATTGATGCTGCTTAACTGTAATGTGAAAAAAAAATTCAACGTGACTCTTTATATTAGCAAGTAACCCAACAAATGTGACATCATTTGGTATAAAAAAGATTGAATTATCTCATGCAAGGGATCAATGGCTTCCATCGAAGATATACCATAAAAAATTTTATGAGCAGGAATCACACTTCCACATTTTGTTTATATATCAATAATGTTTGGACACAAGCTAGATTCATCAATCAAAACATGATTAAATCGGGTTTGATTTTATTTGTGACTATCTCCTTGAAGAGCTCCATAATTTCATCTATAGGGCAATTAATTTTTCGTGTACTCTAAAATCATAGTGTCACAAAGGATGAACTCTGGTGAAGATTTGGTCAGGAGAAGCATGTAAAGGGTGTTGTAGAAATGAAGAAGTTTAGTTATTGTGATGGCTTACGAGCAAAGAAGGGTTAGTGGCATCACAAAAGAGAACAAGTGAAAAAGTATAGGTGGCAGAAATATTGGAAGAAAATGGAGATGGAAAGTCAGTGGCGACTAGACAAGGCGATGGTGAAATGCATGGGAGCTTGACGTGATTTGGATTGATGTAGGTGGAGAGTACGTGAGACAGGGCATGTGTGACACAAAAGATAAGGATTAAGAGTAACACGAAAAGGTCGACATAAGATCAAAGATTTGGGGTGGTGTTTCTTGATTTGAAGTCATATGAGATGACTAATGATGGATTGAGCCATCACGGTGTGTACGCAGAACTTAAATTATTGTATGAGATGACGTGAGCTAATTTGAAAAAAATATTTCTTGTTGTTTCAATTAGTTCGATGATATTATTTAATCATGATTGACGTGTGTGGCGAAATATGTGATGATGGCATGGAAAATAAATTTAGTAAAGGACTTTGAGATGGTACAATATGTGAAGTTACATGTTTGTCCTCTGCTTTAATGAGGGAGTTATAGAGATATTTCTAATATTTTACAAGTATGAGCTTGTTTTCCAGGTGCTTTCTAGCTTGGCCGGCTAAGCTTAATTGGCTTCGGGTCGGCAATGTAAGCTTGGTGGGTCGGCCATCCAAGCCAGATCGATTATCTGGGATTGATCGATCATCCAAGCTATTAGGCTATTGGCTGTCACGGCTGTAAGTCGTCCATGATGCAGGTCGTCCCAACTTCAGGTTGTTTAGCCCAGGCTGCAGGTCGTCCCGGCTTCAGGTTGTTTAGATTGTGGGTGGTCTGGCCCGCGGGTCTTCCAGGTTGCAGGTTGTATCTGGCCTGCAAGTCTCCTACTTGTGGGTCGTCAAAGTTGTGGATCATCCCGACTGCTGGTCTTCCCGATTGCGGGTCGTTCCGACAGTAAATAATCCAGGCTGCAGGTCGTCCTAGCTACCAATAATCCAGTTTGTAGGTCGTCCATATTTCAGATGTACCGACTGCGGCATCAATCTTCCAGACCGTGGGTCATCCCTCCAAGAGATTCAGTCTGACATATTTTTGTTTTACATATGTGACCAAAGTTTCAAATAAAATATGTTCATTCAAATGACTTCACATAAAAAGTTTGGAATATGATATTCCACTCGTTGTGTATGTTGTCATTTGTGATGATGAATATTAAACAATTCGTGGAATTCAATTATGAGGTTTGTGATGGTGCAAGTTACGATAGAGTAGAACGCAACTTGTGGCTTTTAAAACTAAATAGAGTGCAATGCACTGGATTGATTTATGGCAGATGCTCACTAAATTAAGACAAATTATTATAATGTGTCCCCAGAGTGAGATTGCTCAATGTACACATCGTACATGTTCTCTGATAGAAAAAAACCATTGTGATTTAAATGAATATTTAATCAAAGCATTAACATGATCAAGACATATAAGCAAAGCTAAACCTAGTAGAACACTAAGGTATAAGTTGTGCCGCTCGCCGTTACGTTTTGGTAGTGCAACTTTGCGTAAGTCTCTTGCGGTCACAAGTTCGATCTCGCCTGAGTGCATTTACTTTGCAGTGCGGGATCGAGTAGTTAGAAACATGAGAATGATTGGGGGCCACATACATACACATATATACATATATATATATATATATACATATATATATAAGTTTTGTAATTCAGCCATCTTGGAACATATGAAAGGTTGGTATTATTTCTAAAAAATTTAAAAATTAAACTGTAATTAGTATTATCACTTCTATTTTTAAAATAGTAATAATAAGATCAATAATACAAATAAATCAAACATACAACAATAACAATAAGTATTTAAGTGGCATCGACTACATGAACATTTTTCCTCCATTATCTTGGTATGCATTAATATTTTCTTTTAATTCTAATAAGTTAATTTATTATGCAACGAGTCGTTTCTTTATATTTATCTCTACCTTTCTTAACATAAGTTAAATTTAAAACATCTATTCTCCTAATCAGATCATCAGATGATCAGTGTTTAATGTGACCAAATCATGTTAGATGACTCCTTTTAATCTTACCTGCCACATGAAATTCATAATTAAAAATCTTTAAAACATAATTCCACTTAAGCTCAAAATTACTAAGAAATGTTCAGATTTATGCCAAGCTATTGTCAATTCTATATGTGCGTATGAGTTGGTTTCAATACAAGTCCTATACATAAAAAAAACACGTGCATAATTCATCCAATTAATTTAAGACATTTATATTTAAATTAAAGTAAACAAATTTTGAATTGAGCTGACTAAAATTTCAGTATTTTTATAATTCGGAGCATAATTAAACGTTCTGCCCATGCACTTTTTCTTTTATTCTTCCTTTTTTTTGGTGCTATTTTAGTCCCCAATACGCTGAAAAATAAAGGTCCGGGCTACTTCCAAAAATCGCCAATCGAACCAAAAAAAACAAGCCCACGCTGCCACAGCCATCCACGTGTCAAATTACCACGTGGCATATGAACGGCGTTTCTGGGTTTTTCTTTTTTTTTTTTTTTTTGTTTGACCCTGTTTTAGCCGGCCGTCCACGCACTAAAGAATGTCTCATATTGCGCCGCTTCATAGCACAAAACAGCAAGATTCGCCATTCAACAGCCACAACGTACCCGTGAAGTTTCCCCGTCAGAATTACAACACGCTATTAACCCTGTTTCGTGTTTAGACACTCAGCAAATCATCCGTCCTAGGCCGTCCGTTGTGTTGACCGAGGACAACTTCACACAGGAACTCCACTCCTATCAAAGGCGCACGTCACATAGCTTTTGACCCTTCAGGTATGCTGCTCACACTAATATACTTTGTTATCGTAGTTCACACAATAATAAGAGATTCTAAGAAATTTAACATTTATTACATTCTTTAATTTATCAAGAAAAAATATTTAAAACTTACTATATACATATTTTTATGCATACATAAAATAATTAAAATATTTTCAAGTAAAATATAATAAAATTGAATTTAATTATAATCAAATGAATTAATTGCAAGTGCACAAAAATATTGTTAATGAACTTTTGACTGCTTGGTGTAGCATTATAAAGAAGTTCCGAGGGACATTGGAAACAACCTTCTTTGCTATAAAAGGGTTGCGTTAAGGCTTTTCAGCCATTGAGCAGTGAAGACCAAGAGCGTTTGAAGAGGTGAAGCAGAGAATGTCTTGCTCGGTTGCTGTCGCGAGCTCGCCGGTGTTCTCACCGCAGAGAATACCTCTCAGCCTTTTTCCCTCGCCGGAGACCTTAGCTTTCGGCCTCACCCACCACCATCTCTCGCCGAAGGCGGCCACCAGCCCATCGCCCTCCGTTTCTCTTTTGAAGAGGAAGAGGCCCGCTCGTATCAATATCCCCATGATCGGATTAGAAGCTATAGAGCCGCCGTTGGGATCGGATAGCCTGCGGGAGATGGAGGAGGGGAGTGCGCTGTATTCGGTTTATTGCAAGAGAGGGAGGAAAAGGGTTGAGATGGAGGATCGCTATAGCGCAGCCATTGATCTCCACGGAGATCCTCAAATGGTAATTGATTTTTAATCAAATTTGGTAAAAGTAACAATTTCTGGAATTGTTTGATGGTTTAGATTGATTGATGGAGTTTTGGTATTTGCAGGCGTTTTTTGGTGTTTTTGATGGCCATGGAGGTTCGAAGGCATCCCAATTTGTTTCGGAGAGCATTGGGAAGCGTATAATGGAGGAGGTGATGAACGGCGGAGGAGAGGAAAAGGGGATTAGGATAGAAGAAGAGATTAAGAATGCGTATTTGAAGACCGATGCGGAATTCTTGAAGGAAGAATCGAGGGGAGGGACTTGCTGTGTTACGGCCTTAGTGAGGAAAGGGGATCTCATTGTTTCTAATGCGGGTGATTGCCGCGCCGTCATGAGTGTCTCCGGTGCTGCCGAGGCTCTCACTTCGGACCACCGGCCCTCAAGACCGGATGAGAAAGACAGAATTGAAAGCCTCGTAAGTTCAATTTTCATATTGTACATTTGCAAACTCTTTATAGCAGCAAATTGTTAAAGAAATTTAGCGATACAGATTCTTATTATATTTTGATTTGGTTTGCAGGGTGGTTACATAGATTGTTCTAGAAGTGTTTGGAGATTGCAGGGTTCCTTGGCTGTTTCTAGAGGAATTGGAGATTCTCATCTCAAGCAATGGGTTATATCAGAACCTGAAACTAGGGTTATAAAGATTCAACCTGACTGTGAATTCTTAATTCTAGCTTCTGATGGACTTTGGGAAAAGGTGAAGCTATTCTTCATCATTTCAACTATATCAAAATTACTTTTCTTCATTGGCTGAGAGAATTGGGATTTACTAACTAAACTCCGATTAATCTTTCAGGTTAGCAATCAGGAAGCTATTGACATAGCTCGCCCGCTGTGTGTGGATCCTCAGAAACCTGCTCCACTCTCTGCTTGCAAGAAGCTAGTGAACTTATCAATTTCTCGAGGATCAATGGATGATATTAGTGTTATGATAATTCAACTGCGGCAATTTATCTGAATCAAATTTGGTTATTTCTATTTGTCGGATAGATAATGTTGATAATGGGATCATCTGAATCAAGCCCGAGTGCGAATTCTGAATTCTTGCTTCTGAGGAGCTATTCAATCATTCCAGAAACTCTGGATTGAGAGGATTGCAATGAAGGCTGTGGAGCTATTTGACTTCAGAGTTGAATGGATGACCTGGTTCAGAAAATTATTTATCAGAAATAAGTTTGTTTTCTGATAGCTGGAAGAGAGCATCCTGCTTCTTTCTTGTTCTGATAGCATTGCAGCTGTTGCTGAGCTAATTTTCTGCTCCCGCCTGGATTTTCATGTTATTTTCTGACTTTATTTGTAAGGTGTATAAACCAGCTTTTATTGTTGAGAGAGAAAACTGGCAGAATTTGTCTATAGTCAGTTGCCAGTACGATTTGTTTATACTTTCTTCTTAACTTGAATTGAATATATCAATTTAATCATATGTCATGGTTGTGCAGATTTGTTTTCATTGGTTATTGGATGTTGTATTCAAATCTATTTTATGAGTAAAATTACAGAACTTTATTGTGTGTCACTTTGGTTCTTCACAATGATTATGGCCAATTGCATGCCATCAATTAGCGAGAATTTTGTCTTTGAGTGGAATCTTTTATGTTTGTTTGGAGAGTTCTCAGTTTTGTTTGGAGTGTATTTGTTGCTTGGTTGAGTATTGTGCGAGCGAGTTGAGCTTGAGTGATTAGGCCTAATTTCTTTGAGGTTGAATAGGCTCTGCCGAGTGGGTAGTCCTTGCGATTTTATACCTTGTAAATTCATGCTGGTGGAAAGTGTTGGATTGTGAATTGTCCATGGACTGGCACCTCCATGAAAAAGTTGAACCAAAGATGGTAATGAGCTAGATGAGAGAAAAATATTTATTCTTGTGGAAATAAAATTATACGCTATCAACAAATTCTCATCATTAGACATAAATTTAGAAACATTACACGGATCTCGAGATAATTATTTGAGTAAGAAATATTCAAATCTTGATAAAAGGTTATTCAGAGTTTTGATTTCAACAAACTTATAATCAAACGGACAGGCTGGATGAGACAAATCCAATGATATCAAAATTAGTCAAATTTGAGTCAAGTCAAGCTCAAACCGAGTCATTAGATCACCCTTGGAAGTTTTTCAGACATATTTAGAAGGTCAAACGAATGTCAAATCTAACAAACCTATAGTCGAATCAAGCGTCTCAACAAGACGAATCTAATGAGCCTAAAATTGCTCAATTTCAATATGGTTAAGGCACTCAAATGTCCATCAAACGCAGAAAGCTCTCCGGATTATTTGATCAAAGCGATTCATGTTCATGCATTATTTGCACTAAGAACACTATAAATAGAGTCGCATCCCTCTCACGTGGGGAAGGAGAGCTTGAAGTCTGAACAAAAGCTTGAAGTCTTAAAGAGTTGAAGTCCAACATCACTCCATTCATCGTCGGCCACCGCAGACCGCTGTCGATTACTGTTGACCACCGACGACTGCTGTTAACCACTGATGATCGCCGTCGACCACCACATGCCGGCCTCCACCGATCGCCATCGGTCTCCACCCACTTCTCACAACAAGTTAATCGTGCAACGATGTTGTAACTCTGAAGAGTGTTCAACCCTTTCCTGACTGTAGGACGAGAGACTGTACATATAATATCTAGTTTATAGTAAATTTTTTAGTTGTGTTGGGTCTCGTGGTTTTTTCCCTTTACGGTTTTTCCACGTAAAAACTTATTATGTCACTCCTTATTGTTTTCTTTTATCCGAGTGCGTACTAAAATCTCGTGCAACACTAAGACGATAATTCATTACTCTAGAGCGCAAATTTGCTAGCACGCATAAAGAAGACTGAAAAGAGTCTTACACAATGTTTGGGAATCAATCCATTTTTTGTAGTGATATTCCTTTATTTATAAAGGAGTCATTCATCCTTTAAAAAATGACTATTCATGACATATAGTTTCTAAAAGATTTTGTATGTATCCTTTTTTGTCATTTTTTTTGTGAGTTTAACATTATAATTAGTATTATCTCTGGCAGCATTGTATTCCAAAATTTGCTCTTCATAACACTCATCAAGTCACATCTTTGCCGGCTTACTCCGCTTTTGAGATAATTCAACACTTATCAATTCATCTTCAAAGCATGATATTTTTCTCAAATGAATCGTTCTCCTGGACAATAAGGCGAGCTTAGTCAATTTAGCAATTTTCAATCGAGTTTCATGCTCACTGACAAGCTATTGAGCATAACTCCTTGATTGAACTAATAGAAGATGTACCGGTGGGCTATCTCCTCTACTTTGTGAGTTGTCTTACTTCTCATCCTCAAATCATACTCGACAACTAGTATTTGATTGCTTATCTTTATTAATTTGTTAGCTCGATAGGTCAACTCAGCCTGGGAACTCGATGAGTCGGTTGTTTTGGAATGCTATCCAGTTCCAAAACCTGGACTTGGTCATGCAATCTTGGAACATTACTTGGCTTCAAAACTTGGACTTGGTCATAGGCCGCATTTGGCTGCACACAGAATTTGTGGTCCTAGTTTTTGTTTGTGATCCTGACAAGTTTGTCATTTAACTCAAGATACGTTGAAGCAAGCTAATTTCTCATGGACTAAGTCTCACAGCTATTTGGGCGTTTACACTGAATGATAGTATGGAATTCTCAAGCTGCTTTTGTTGTCTTTCTAGGATGTGTAACATTGTCTTGCAACTTTGTTTTCTGGTTGTCTTGCTACATCGACAACATTGTTCGCAAGGCAGAAAGAACTCATGTCATGGACTCTAATCTCATATTTTAACTCATAAGAACATCTTCCTATACATAAATTTATAAAATGCTCGACTCATTATCCCCCATTTTTCCTCATTTGCATATCTATCAATTTACTTAAAAAACTAAATTATTATATCCATGTATTTGCTCGTGCCATGATGGATTGCTGAGTCTCCTCTTAAAGAGAGAAATATGAGTAAACATTTAGTTCTGATTTTCAAAATTTGAAAGTTAGGTGTTAGATATGTAAATATCTAAGAAATGAATGGTATGTATGTAAATGCCCCTTTGAATTAAACATATTAAATTTGTTAAATTTATTTGGGTTTTGATATAATCAGGCACTAACATTTATTTCAAATACCATAAACTTTCTAAAGTTCTTTAGATGTTATAGTTATTTTCACCTTTGAAATAATTTAAATTATTTTTTTTATCTTTAAGAAATATATTTTATTCGCAAGCAACCCAATGAGTCATAATCAGACTTGGTGTGATGGCCTGTTTAATGAAACAAGTTTGCCAAAATGAGGTATATATATAAATACATCCAAAGATCACATCATACTTTATCAGTTTGTTGGTATTTTTGGATACTCATTCGGTAGGGCTAAGAATTTAGCTAAAAAATAAAATAATCAATTGAAATAAGTAAGTTTAAGTATGAGTTGAAATCATGGATCAAATTTATTTTGAGCTATACACGGCTCAGCACGAACTCGCTTGAGATAGGCCTAATTTTTTTTTATTATTTATTCAAGTTATTATATATAGAATATTAAAGAAAATTTTATATAATGTATAATCTTTTAGCTCGTTTGAAAATTAGTTCGATTCATTAATTTTAATCCGACTCAATCGAATTCCGAGCTAAACTAGTAGCAAATCACTGAATTCAAGCCAGATTATTTCGACTTCAAGTCGGATCAAGCTAAACTAGCTCGAAATCAAATACAGCGAGCCACGATGCCATTTTAATTACTTCATTCTGATTAGATTTTCTCAGGCGAGTTAGTCCAATATAAGCCAATGATATGCTTGATTAAATAAAGATAAATATAACTCCAAACCATCTCTCATAAGTTTCTCTTCAGCTCTAACCAAATGGGAACTGTACACTAGTTATTCATCAGCAGAGAACTGTTAAGAGTTTATTTTCATTCGATTTTCTCTTTTAATCTTCTAATATATAAATATATATAAGAAACGACGTTGAGGTGATAAATTGTCAGGCTATGCTTATATCTTGTCTTTACTATGTTTTGTTGGCTTATTTATTTATTTAAATAGAGCATTGAAGATATATTCAGACATGTTTGTGAGCATATGTTTCAGAAACATATAAGTTTATAATCATATTATTTATATTATTTATATTTTGATATATTATAATCGTATTCCATCAATACATCTTAAATAATCATTGTCGGCTTAAAATTAGTGTGCAAATCACATGACTTCTTCTTAATTGTATACTGAATAAGCCATGATTGAATTTGCCAATGATATTTTTATCTGACGTCTAAGGATTAAGCTGCAGCTGCCCCAAACAGACCCTTAATGTGTTGAATTGCTTTTGATCTTAAACTTATTTGATTGTCTAACACAAGTTCCATAAACATCTTACAGATATAAATATAATATCCCTTTAGTTTCTTTTTTTATTCTCAAAGAGGCGCTCAAGTGCATAAGCGGAGGATGAAGCGGAGCATGAGATCCTAATATTGTATAACTTTATATATACAATTTACGAGAACTTTGAAAGAAAATCATCTTTAAACCAATAATTATTTGCTCTATTTATTAGTAAATGTCTGGCTAACATATTTGTCTTCTTTTCATTCTTCCTCATACAATACAAGGATGTTAATATTTGCTTTAGGATATAAGCACGGTTTGAAAGATAATGTGTTAAAATATAAAATGAACCATCTATGAACATATCTCGAACATGTTTTCAAACTATGTTCAAAATATGTTGGAGTACATGTTCTGGATAGGTTCCATCACATTCCTATTTTTCCTAGTTAACTCTATGTTAGAAATCTAACAAAATGACCTCAATCTTTTGGCTCATATGATATATAGTCATTCAAACATTAAAAAATATTTAGCAATGTTTGTATAAATTGATGTTAAATTGATTTTTTTTTTATTAAACTTGATTCTCAGCAATCATCTCATTATGTTGAATACAAAAATCTTAATTGGTTAAACATAAATTTCAAGCACATTCTCCAAAATAAATTAAAAAAAGCAGATATATTTGGCTAATTTTGAATATCATGAACTCAATATAGTATGGTAGTAGTGCATCTATTTGCTCGTGTCATAAATACACGATGCAAAGTATGCATCATCGTGTTTTTAGCTCATTTTGCATCGTGTATTTATGTGCAATTTGCATTTAACATTTTATGTAAGAACCCTTGTAATGTAGCAAGCACCGTAGTGCCTTTGGTTAGCACCGCAACTCTCATTATGACAACTCCACACCTTTGCAAAAATTACATGTTGTGTTAATTTCTCCAAGTTATCTTGTTGTTCACTATCATAATTATGTTAAATATTCCTCATAGTATCATTAGATTTATCATAAGTGCCCAAAATTTCGAACTTAACTTTTCATCATTCAAATGATTCAAAATAGTAGAAGACCCAAAC